ACGGCGGTTGCTACGGTATAAAACAACCACGGTCGCGTAAATCATTATGCCATCGAGTTGACAAACAATCAATTTTAGTAGCGAAACTCACACACACACATACACTTTTTAACACTGCAGTTATAGGCATGCACACGCGCCGGCGTGTTTAAATATTATGTATATATATATATTATGTATTCATGTAGTAGTACTTAAATAATATAAAAACATTGCTTTAAAAAATATGGAGTTTATGGGTTGAGGAAAATAAATGCCATTGCAACTCTACCTATATATATATATTCATGTGTGTGTGTGTGTGTGTGTATGGGTTAAAGATACACCCATCACACACATATATAAATGTATACACGTCATATACTTTTAGACTTTTTTGTGCTTATCTTTGTACACATGCATGATATTACAATATAGGTACACGTATATTAAAAAAATCCCACGTGGGCGTGTATTTATAATGCTCGTGAAAAGGTCAAGATGCACTACTGCAACGATGACTATAAAATTGTATTGAATTTTTTTTTATACTCGATTATAATAGTCGCCATACTTTAATACCAATATAGTCTGTACAAGACATATTATATTATTGAATATACTATTTGAAATTCGATGACCAGTGAGTTTTAGCGCGTTTCTATCAAATAACACATTTTACTCCATAGTAAAATGTCCAAACGTGGCATTGTGTATTTGCGTGTTGTAGTAATAATCGCTCAACTATATCAAATATATCGCTTTTTGTTTCGTTATATATATTTAAAAACCATTAAAAAAAAATTATTTTAAATCGCATAACAATAGCACTGCATGCTTGACTACTGGTAAGATAAGATTTTGGGTCACAGAGAGAGATGCAAACGTACATAGTTTATCTTGCATTATAATATTATTTTTTAATAATTTCTGCAGTTATCCTTAGTATTTGAAGGAGATTTTCCAGTTTGATAATTAACGTTTTTGGAAATTAATCGTTGAACGGTAAAACCATTATTCAATCGAACAACGTAATAGGTGAATAGTACTGAACACTATTATTCCGGTTCTTAAATTGCATTTTCGAAACTTAATATAACGTTAACGGTTTTCTAGAAAATGAATCTAATAAATGTCTCTTTTGAATTTGTGTCAAACCCCGCTAGGAACGTACGATTTTGACCTGTTTGTATAGTGCCACATGTGTTCTATTTTCAATCAATAACGTCAATAACTGCCTTAAGCTTTTTTATAGTACTTTTCCATCTTGAAAAAATGTTCACCAATATAGCGAATTTCAATAAAAATTTAAGTTGTAACTTTAAAAATGTAAACTAACATTTTTAAGCAGTTTAATAATCATAGCAGTGTATTTAAATAAACAAAGATATTAGTGGTTGTTTACGTGTAAGAGGCTCATAACGATTCTTTGTATTTTTTAAATACCTATAGACCATAATACTTAAGTTCTCATTAAGATTTTCACCGCTCTTTTTTTTTTTCGTAATACTTAATTTTTATTAATTTGCTATTCCAGTATTAAAGCATAATCTTGGGCAGAACCGCGCAATAGGATAATTTTGTTACAACGTAGCAACCAAAACTTTTTTCATTAGGAACGGTAGTTAGTACATTTTTTTTTCACGAATCAACACGAACCACTGCTGTTTTTTTGTTAGCTGGTTAGTCTCAATACTTAGAGTTTTATCCTCAAATTTAAATTAAATTAAGTACCTACTTATTGATGGTTGGATAATTACAAGCTCTCAGTTAACGGAGTTTTTTCTTTTAAGTTACGATACAGTTGAAATTCAATAGAATTACTAATGATTTATCCAATTTTTTTTTTTTTATAGATCGCATTAATCCTGTGTTTGGTTACCGTTGCCACCGCAGCACCATACGTGCCTGTCGTACCAGTCATTCCGGCAGTCGTACACCATCCGGCTTCCGTTGTACACTCGTCGACTGTCGTTCAATCGCACCCATCGCCTGTGGCCACCCGAGTGGTCGCCGTACCTGCCGTCGCTCATCCGGTTGCAGTCCATCCGGCGGTGTCTGTACATCCGGTGGCCGTCCACCCGGTATTGCCCGTCCACACAGTCGTCCATTACTAATATTTGACTTTGGTTAAAGTAATTTATTGTAGTGCACATACATACACAGTAGTGCATACATCTTCTTTATCTATACTATTGTCATATATGAAACTGTTTCAAAAATCTAACCGAAAAATGTTATTTCAGTCAAAAAACAATTATATTGATATAATAATAAAAATGATTGTCATAAAATTGTATGTTTCGCGTTAGATTTATTTCTACCCAAATACCGTTCGATAAACAATATAATATTATATAACCTACTGTGGTAAAAAACAACAAAAATATACTATATTTACGGACAAAATAATGTTATAATCAATATAGAGCGAGGAACAATAAATCAGTTTAATACAAAAACTTAAGTTTATTGATCAGACAGAAATGTCAATATGATAGTATTTAAATTAAGAGGAGTAGAGCTTATATTTCCATTGGATCTGAAAATTCGAAAACACTCGGGGGGGGGGGGGGCTTATTTATCTCATATCCGACAGTAGTAAACTATAGAAAAACAGTAGTTAAGATTTGATTAAATTGTTGTTAGATACTTTTCCTGCATAAGCGTGTGTTTATAAATTGTATAGAAGAGGCCTTTGCACTGTTATGAACTTTCGTAGTGCCTATTTTATCGATCGCATGCAAGTTTATGGTACAACTACTCTTCTAAATGTATTTTTACAGTTATACTGTAGATATTTATTGCAGTGTTATTGTTACAGCGAATTTTCTATGCTATTTATATAAATTATAGACTTATGTATATATCTGAATTCACAATTATCTGTAGTAATCGTTATCAATGCAGTAGCAAAATAATTTGTCTATATTATAATAGAACGAACAAATAAAAACATCACATTATATATGTCTTTTTTTAATAACCACTTATAGTCGAATAAAATAATTAGATCACTAATTAATTGTCACACAACAAAAGTAATCTTTTACTATCATAAAAACTACTTATATAAATAGTCTATTATACTAAGAAGCTACAATAGAACTAGAAATTTGGTTAATTCGACCCCTGATCTTTCTTTGTAAATATGAATCTAAAGAAATATCAAATAATATGTCTGATCCAATTCAGGTCTATTAAAGCGATTCACTAGTATATTGAACGCATCACACAAAAATTTACTATTAATATTAATATGTTTATTATATGAGCACAGTCAAGTTAATTCTGCTATAATAAATTAAAGAATTATAAATATATTATTATAGCTTAACATATTTATTTTTTTTTTTATTTATACAATGTTAACATCTTATTTATATTGAACCTAGATAGGAAAGTGATGGCTTTTATTTGAAGTCTTATAATTAAGGCCCAGAACTTGATGCATTTGCTTTTTTTTTTTTTTTAATGCGTTTAAAGAAATGTGACTTATGTTATGTAAAATTCAATGAAACCATTTTTATTTTGTATTTTTTGGTAATTTTTGGTTATACAATCTTTTTACTGATTTTGATGAACTTTTTGCGTTTTTGTAGATATATTTGCAATTTTTAGATTTTTCTTTAATATTATTTCGACAAAACTAAATATTTGAAAAACTAACGTATTGTATAGCCTAATCGTTCAATTATTTTTCTAAAAATATCGATTTCTTTTTTATAGTTATTTTGTATTACTGACATTTTTTATATCCGTTTTAAATTTAATTTAAACCCTGTAGTCTGTAAAAAATATGTTTAATCTTTAAAAATATTAGTATTGTTTAAATTAAGAGGAATAAAATTTAAAAACGATATTTTTTTGATGATTTATTTTTAAAAAACGTAATTTTTGAAAATGTTATGTTATTTTTTAAATTATGTTTTAAGTCATCTTTTGATGTTTATAATTCGTTTAAATACTTTTTTTGTGTACATTTATAAAAATTTTTTAGGTCATCGAGTTTCGGGACTTATTTGTAACGAGGCATTAAGATAATATTGTTATCATGTATGTTTAGTGGACTATCTATAACGCCTCATGATCAAAAGTGTATGACGGACTATTTAATATTTTTATTGATTGTCTTTAATGTTTATTTTCTTCTTTGTATTGTTTAATAAACAATATAGTACAATTTGTTAATCTAATCTCTATAAACTCATTTTATGACACTAGTAGCAAAGCTCAATAAATTGAAATTAAAAGCAATACCAATGTCGGATTCTGTTTATTTAAATCGATCGATTGAATATATTGTATACTAAAATAATACTTATTGACTTTATTAAAATGTATGTAATCGTTTACACGCTTAATTTGAATATAAAAATTCTGATATTAATTTAAAGACCACATTTCATTATTGAAAATTTGAATCGTAAATTTGAATAGAAATTAATAGAGAAAAACTATCATTTGTGAAATTTTTTCAACGGAGTAAATCAATTTAAAAAAAAAAATTAATTTTTTTTTTTAAAATTGAGAATTTTTAGAATATTTTTTCGCTTAATTATATGGAACTGCAATAATCTGGTTTAACGGAAACTAATTGCACAGTACAGAAAATAATATGATTCAATATGTGATGATATATTATTATACACTATTTTCCAAAAATGTAGGTATTGTATAACTAGTAAGCACTATTTTATTGAACGTTATTTTAGTTAGCGCAAAATAATTTATAAAAACATAATATTAAATGTTCTTTGGTAAAGCTATAATAATAATATAGCGTCACACTGACACGGAACCACACTTGTAAATTATTATTTTTTTATATACATAATATATATATTAACTAATGAATTAACAACAGAATGCTATAATTCGTTGTAATTTGTATTACGTTAAAACCCGTGAGTCAATTAACGTCCATTTAAAATACAACAACAACATAACATGCATCGATGGTATCAGTTAAACTTTAATTATTTAGTGTTTATTTTTTTTAAAACTATTTGTACACCAACCTGTCAACTGAAACGGCGATTAAACTGTACACAGACGCTGCCACTGAAACGCCTTGGACATACGGCACGATCTTACACATCCAAGATCCCAAGATCCACGCTAAAAACAAGAAGAAGCAATATAAGATATTTTACTAAAAACTAAATTTTTCCTGCGTATAACATAATATTATTATTATTTTATAAAAGAGACTGCAACTGCAGTAGGTATTCTATATTATGATCGAGTCGTCAAAAAATCACGTTTCTGTACTTCATCATCCTCGAGACGTCTCGTTAAACAGTTGTAGTTTGTAGGATATAATTTTTTTTTATTTATTCTTGTTGCTATCGTCAGAAAAAAACATAACTTTATCGCTTAGTGAAAACCTTTTTTCTTACTTACTTGTATGTAAATTATTTTGAATAGAAATGTGATCATTTTTTTTTTTTTTTTTAACGTAATATGTTATATTCAATGTAAAGCACGTAAAAATAAAACCCACTAGGATAAACTTCAGAAAAAAGTTATCTTCTTTGTAACAAATAAAAATTTATCTAAGATCATTCTATAAGTCATGGCCAATGAATTGAATACAAAAAGGGGTTTTCCCCATAAAAAGTATGTATGTACGATAATGTATTAAAATGTCTTTTAATTCTTTAGTTTTTATTTTCATTGTTATTTTGTCAAATTACCTTAAAATTTGTTAGCACTTTGCCGACAAGTTTTAATACTAATGCTCATAGTACAAAAAAGTTTTTCATAGCGTATTCATTGGTTGTACATTAAACACAGATAATAATCAACAACAAGTATTCTATTAAATTTCAAATAGTATTGATGAAAATGTATTAGTTTTCTTTATTAGAGAAAATATAAAAACAATAAAAACAAAATATTTATGAAATTTGGATACACAATAAAATTTGATAATGAATATTCTTACTGTTGTTTTTTCTAACAAAAATATTGCTCTTATATAGGCAATTACAGTTAAGCACACGCAAAGTTTTAACAGAATATTTACATATATGCAAATCCTTTCTTAACCTCGCATTTATTTAATAAAGTACTGTATATTTAATACAACATTATCGTTTTATTATTACACTCAGTAATACGGAAATCACTTCGCTCAGATTGTTTGTTGGTGTACAGAAATCCAGAAAAGAAAAAATAAACAAATTACTAATGTGGCGCGTTTTACGTAGCACTTATAATATATTATATGAAATTTATTATCAAATATTTTACCAAAAAAATATAAACGTTTTGTTAACATTATTTATCGACTCAAAATAGTTTTGAAACTATTTGATTTAAGATGCATGTTTGAGAACAAAAATAATAATGAAGAATGATAAATTATTTTGTTTTTCTGATATAAGTACGCAGTATTACAGTATAATAAAAATATAAAATACTGATGACTTTTTTTCCTACATTGTAGAATACCGATCTTTGCGTAAATTATTTGTAGCTCATATACTATTATCTAATGTTTATTGTTTTGTTATCCCACACACACACACACACATACACATAATATACACGTATAGATATATTACACATCATAATATAATATTCGTGAGCGATTCCTTTGTTGCCGGTCGGTGGTGTTCAATAAGGTGTTTTTTTTTTTTTTAATTTTAATAGATCAACTACTGGATTTGCTTTATACATTATTATAAAACAATATTATGAAGTGCGCTTGTATGCATTTTTAAAGTAAAATATTATATGTTAACTATGGTGAACTGCAAAAAACATATCATGTAGAACGTTGAATTTAAGATGCCAACCAACTGACAAGATAAAATGCGCAAGTTACGCTATGCTTCAACGTGTCTAAAATGTAAGAATAAAATTTATCCAGGAAAAAAAAAGCCATCTTGTATACGTACTTACACGTTGTAACTCTATTTTTGGGTAGACACAGTTATGTGGATAAATGTCTGATAAGTAGTGTTGCTTTTTAATATTTCTTAAGATGGAAAATTTTACAAAATACGTAGAATCAAAATAATCCAAAAGTTTAAATCTATCTTATATGCCTATAGATAATTAAAATTATTTAACTTTAAATTTTTTTTTAAATATATATATATATATATACTGGTAGTTAATTATAGGTAACATAATTTTGTTAATTTGAATTACTTATAAGTATTGTAACGTTGATAATTTTATTGTTCAGATTTTATAAACTGTATATTTATATTACATTATAATATATATATATAATATTCAAAAGATAGTTTCCTGTAAGGTTTGCCACAGGAATATATAGTATAAAAGGTACAAGAAAGAGTAGAGACTTATATTTATTGATCTGTCCAGCAATATATATAACATAAATAGGTAATGCATCTTCTATCTGGTGTAAATATTTAATTATCTCACGGCATTAGATTGTTGGTATTACCAAATCTAATTTCACTAAAGGAAATCAATATTGCTTTTTCCACGACAAATAGACAAATTTATGGGACGTATAAAATGTCTGTTGAATAAATAATGCCGATTACCAATATATAAAACAGTAGGTGAACAACATTTTCATATCTAATATTTCTTATCATAAGTTCTTTACTTACTAACGAGTAACGAGTCAACTGACGATACTGTGTATACATGATATGCGAGCAAATTGCAATTAGCGCGACCACAAAGGAAGTCGAGAAATTGAATTAGATTTAAACGTTATGCGCCGTAAAGATTTGTTATATTTAACTGAAACTATCTGTGTTTTTATAATACTATAAAAGGTTTAAAAATTTATCAAAAATGTGATTATTCGTACATAATTTGAATTTTATTTTTATAGTGCGCACGTCTCACCAACTTTCCGGAAATAACGAATTACTGCTTAATATATTCACATAACGACGATATTTTTTATTTTAATACACGTGTAATACGTGTAACCTATATATGAAATAATATATTATAAATAAGAGTACAAGGGAAGACACACTGTCGACACGAACGCCAAAATAAAAACATATTGTATAAAGTGATTTTTTTAATGACAGTACCTTGGAAAGTGTTTAACTACTTTCTAGCTCCGCTCATAGAACATTAATTACTTATAAATAATTAACTAAGTGTACTCGCTCAAAAATAATTGTTGTGCATATATTGAGATTGGTAGGAAAATTTTCTGCCTAAGAATATAAAATTGAAAAAGTATGTTATACCAAAAAAATTTAAAAAACTACAACGATAAAGAATAATAAAAAATAATAATTATTTACTTCATGAATGATTGTTTTTCAATGATTTGAAATTATGTAAATGATTAATATCACCCGAGAAAATCACTGAAAGAAATCATTGTGCTCTTGTACTACCTACTAGTTTTGTTAGTCGAATATAGGTAGAATAATATTACCTAACGATGAAGTTAATGCTTACTACTTAGTCCCCCATCAAATCACAATAATGACGTATTCGCATGTTATTAATTAAGTACGATATTATAGGTATAGCATACTAGAGATCGATTCCGAAATAACGGTTTACGGTATACTATTATTGTTATTTATTATAAATGTTAAGCCGAACGTTTATCTCACTGCATCAGTGTTGTAGTAAAGGATTGCCGAAATTTCATGTTCCAAAATCAGTGAATATCGCATTAGATCATAACGAAATTCTCGCAAGTTTTGCGACGTGAATTTTCAATGACCCCGTAGTGTACCTATAATATTATTATTGTTGCATTATGCCGATACCTATGTTGAGCTACTGGCTGGCAAATGTGCCAGAACAGTATATATTATAATATAGACACAGCCGTCGGATAACGTGTTATATATTGTAATAGTATTATTTTGAGATAACTGACCATTGAAAGTGAAATAAAAAAAAATCAATAAGAACAACAATAATATTAATGTTAATAACTACAATAGTTTTTTGGATATTACCGAGCACTAATATTTGGGCTAAATTACATATTAGTATTATTATTATTATACTATGATCATATTGTATAACATGGGTTTTAACGTAGGTTCACCTCGCGTGGTATTTCATAATAATAATCATAATAATTTTGATAACCGCGCTAGATGCTATAATAATAATGTTGGTTTTTTTTTTTTAGTCAAAAGTAGACTAACCTATATGGTGGTACCTAAGCTATTGTGGTTTCCTAAGTAATTTTCCGTTTTAAAATCTAATAATTTAATAATATCGCGAGGTATAAGGAAAAAAATAATCGTACATCATCTTCGGATCATCGGCGGCAGTGTAGGTATATAAATAATATGTTATAATATAATACACTCGTGAAAAAGGAAGATAACCGAACGGACATCGCTGAGGTTTGCGATTTGTGATTTGATTTACGCAAATCTTTTCCCATCCATTTTATTTAAGATGAATATCATATTTTTTGAGTGCATTTCATTTTTATCTATTATATAATATATTAAATATACTAATTTGATTTACTAACTATATATTAACCTGTATGCAGAGTGGTTGACCGTACTGCAGATTTCCTGTCTTAGCTTTACGGAAAACTCGTGACCTATATATTATAATAAAATATTCTTTTCGAAATTTAGTACTGTGCTTTTGTAAAAAAATTTTATTTGCAAACGATACAAAATTAAAGTATGCTTTTGATGAATATATTAATAAAAATAAATATAATATAGCTCCGTTTTAAACTTCTTCAAATCATGCTAAAAAAATGAAAATCGTTCCGGGAATGTTAAATCACGTATCGTTATTAAATATATGTTTAAATAATGCAATATGTCACTATAATGTGTTATTTTTATTCCGTTCATTCGTTCGTTTATTGTTCGATTTGTCAAGCGAGATATTTCAGTAGAATATCAAGTTAAAGTTTAATACATAAAAACTTTTGCATATATATTACATTATATACGTATTCTAATAAAAAAAAAAAAGTTGTATATTGAGTTTGGGTTATTAATAAAATATTTGATTTTGTGTATTCTGGATTCTCATAAAATAAGAGTTATTTGATAAAAATCGTCTAGTTTAAGGTTTGGTGAAATCGACCGATTTTTATAGGCCGGTTCAGCAAACAGCCCTTTGGGGAAGGCGTGCGCCTTGCCACGTGTACGGGTGAACGA